CGTTCTGGGATATTTAGGGAAATAAGTGAGTTGAGTACAGAGTTCCAGAAAGAGGCTATGGAGGTGGAGTTAATAAGATGAGGGGTCTCATGTACCAAGCTTACCGACAACTGCACAAGTTTGTGAGATGTGATAGCACTGTATTTTCTTTTTTAAAACAGGTGATAATAATGGAAGAGGTCTACCTGTTCCTACCTGTTCCTCACCATTCATTTAAGTATCAAAAAATTATGTCTGTTACATACTAGTTGGGCTGGAGCGATAGCACAGCGGTAGGGCGTTTGCCTTGCATGCAGCCAACATGGCCGACCCGAGTTCGATTCCTCAGCCCCTCTCGGAAAGCTCGGCGATCTACCGAGAGTATCTTGCCCGCATGGCAGAGCCTGGCAAGCTCTCCATGACGTATTCGATATGCCAAACACAGTAACAACAAAGTCTCCAATGGAGATGTTACTGGCCCCGCTCGAGCAAATCGATGAACAACGGGAGGACAGTGACAGTGACATACTAGTTTGAATAACAGGCAATGGGATATAATAGTTTTTCCCATTAAAAAATATGTATATATATAAAATGTATATATATATATATATTTTTAGTGAGATACTTGTAAAAAACTTAGCTTAAATGCCAAATTCTTATAGATTTCATTGACCATACCTTTAGCTTCCCTAGTAGTTTTTACTGTTAGTTCCATCAAATTGTGCTGTTCTAAAATTATCTAATTTTGGGGGCTGGAGCGATAGCACAACCGGTAGGGCATTTGCCTTGCACGTGGCCAACCCGGGTTCGATTCCCAGCATCCCATATGGTCCCCTGAGCACCGCCAGGAGTAATTCCTGAGTGCAGAGTGCAGAGCCAGGAGTAACCCTTGTGCATTGCTGGGTGTGACCCAAAAAGCAAAAAAAAAAAAAAAATCTAATTTTATCACAATTTATAATTATAATTTTAATTGTAACTTATAATAATATCACTGTATCACTGTCATTCTGTTCATCGATTTCCTCGAGCAGGCACCAGTAACGTTTCCTTTGTCCTAGCACTGAGATTTTTTTTTTTTAATTTTTATTAGTGAAACACCATGAGGTACAGTCGTAGACTTACAGATTTTTGTGCTTGGGTTTCAATTATACAATGATCAAATACCCATCCCTCCACCAGTGCCCATTTTCCACCACCACGGATCCCAGTATCCCTCCCCCCGCCCCCCGCCTCTATGGCAGTAGCCCTGAGATTTTAGAAAGTGCCACATTCGAGGCACTTTCAGGGTCAGGGGAATGAGACCCATCATTGTTACTGGTTTTTGGCATACTGAATACACCACGGGGAGTTTGCCAGACTGCCGTGCAGGCAGGATTTATTATTAAATTTTAATGTTCTCTTGTTCTTCATCTTTCCTTTTCAAATGCACGAACCATGTTGTCTTGCTTTGTTTTCAGTCTTGCATAGTTTGAGGGCTGGAGCAATAGCACAGTGGGTAGGGCGCTTGCCTTGCACATGGTCACCTGGGTTCGATTCCTCCATCCCTCTCGGAGAGCCTGGAAAACTATCAGAGTATCCCGCCTAGCAAGCTCCCCATGGTGTATTTGATATGCCAAACACAGTTACAACAAGTCTCACAATGGAGACGTTACTGTTGCCCGCTCGAGCAAATTGATGAACAACAGGAGTGCTACAGACAGTGCTACACTGCATAGTTCAAGAAAGAGTAGACAGTAGGTGCTTAATAAGTACTTGCTGACTAAAAGAACTTTTAAAAGACCTATAAGTGTCTAAGTGTTACTCTAACTTCTTAACTTTTATAACTTCCTTAATCATAGACATCTGCAGATCACATTGTATTCTAATTATTTATGAGGAACTAACTTACAGTCACCAGACTACCTCACAGCTTAGTTAGAAGTAGAACATTATATCCTCCTTCTGACTAGCACTGCAAGTAGTTTTGACTGGTCCTTAAAGATTTAATAATCACTTCATTCGATAGTTTACTGAACATGTACCCACAAGTAGTGGGGGAGGAATATTGTGGAGGACATGACAGAAATGATCCTGCATGCGAAGAATGGCAAATTTTCAGTGAAATAGTGCAGTAAACAGGGAGTCATGATACTGCGTGTGAAGACAGTGGCAGTAGAGCATGACATAGCAGACTCTGGAGAGACTTGAGGAGTCAGCTTAAATTATGGATAAAATGAAACAAGAAAGGTAGAGTGGGGGTAAAGGCCTATTAAGATTTGATATGAATGCTAAAAAGGGTGACAATTATGGGCTAACATTCTTCTAAGCACTTTACATATAAACATTAATGTCATTGATTTATTCAGTCCTTAGGAACATACTACTACCATCCTCATTTTACAGAGAAAAGAGCTGAGGTGCAGATAGCTAAAGAAAGTCTCACACAGCTGGGCATGAGATAGGGATGAGTAGAGACGAGATGATTTGATACTAGAGCATGATTTCTGCATTACACTCCTTAAAAATAGTATCAAATGGGACCAGAGAAATAGCACAGTGGGTAGGGCATTTGCCTTGCATGTGGCCAACCCGGGTTTGATGCCAGCATCCCTTATGGTCCACTGAGCATCACCAGAAGTAATTCCTGAGCGCAGAGCGAGGCGAGAGCCCTAAGCACTGGCGGGTCTGATCCCCAAACAAAATCAAAAAACAATCCCTCAAAGCCCTTAAAAAAAAACACTATTATTTTTTTCATTTTCTAAAATGAGAACATTTACTTTTATATACACTATGTTCTCAATTGTTACCACTACATGTAATTAACTAAATTAGAGTTCTTTTCAATTTAAAGATTAAGAAATAATCTCTAACTTTGCAACATAAATTTGAGGAATGAGACAGTACAGTGGGTAGGGTGCTTGCCTTGCCTGTGGCTGATCCGGGTTCGATTCCTGACATCCCATAGGTTCCACTTAGCCCTGCTAGGAGTGATTCCTGAGTTCAAAGCCAAGAGTAACCCCTGAACACTGCTGGATGTGCCCCTGACCAAAAACCTCATAAATTTAAGAGTTGACAAATTGCCAAAACCACGCAAAATATATTTTAAGAAGATAGTGTGTGATTAATGTAAAGACTGTCACTTAAAACAAAAGCATCCCAAATTTTTAAAAGGCTATTCAACATTATCAACTACTGCTGAATGTATACACAACATATGATCCAGCAATTCTCTTAGACATTTACCCCAAAATGTGCCCAGGTATATGTATGTATGTACATATATGAATGTTTGTAACATAGCATCCTGTTTGTAACAGCCTTAAACCAGAATTTACCCAAATGCTCACAATTACCATCAGCAGACCAGGTAAATGAATTTTGTTCTATAACACCATCAAATATTAAAAATAATGAGAATGAATAATCTACAACTACATGAAACCAATAGGGATGAATCTCACAAATATGATAATAAAAGAAGTTAGATACACAAGCATACATACTGTATGACTCCACTTATGTGAACATGAAACCGATCAATGGTTTCAGAAGGCAGGAGAGTTTATTCAGTAGTGGGCAACTAGAAGGGAACATGAGAAGGCTTGCAGAATGCTGGGAGGGGCTGGAGCAATAGCATAGCAGGGAGGGCATTTGCCTTGCACTCAGTCAACCCAGGTTCAATCCCTGGTATCCCATATGGTCCCCTGAGCACCACCAGGAGTGATTCCTGAGTGCAGAGCCAGGAGTAACCCCTGAGCATCGCTGGCTGTGATCCAAAAAGCCAAAAAACAAACAAACAAACAGAAAAATCAGAATGCTGGGAATGCTTCATTTATGGAACAAGCTGGTTGTGCTTTTACTCAAGTATATTCTGCCTTTAAAAATCTGTCAAGTATACATTTATGATATGTATACTTTTGGGCATATGTTTATTAAAAAGTTAAAAGTAGTTTATATTTTTAAGCAATGATCTAACTTTAACAGCTTTTGATGAATTTTACATGAACAATGTATAGGCTTTATATAAACGAATCTCACTTAATCCTCACATGTTACAGAGACAGGCACTGTTGTTAGCACCACCTTCAGAGGGAAGATTGTGACTCAGAGGCACTAAGCTATGTGTGAGGGTATAGAATCAACTCAGGTGAGTTCACGTTATAGAATACATTCATGACAACTAACTCTGCCAAATTTTAGGTAATGAATTCAAGAGGATATGAGATCTATTGTATAAAACTTAAAACTTACTCCATATAATTTCCAGGTGGACCTTCCAATTATAAGTACTATATATGAAAATGTAACAAGCCAACAGCCTAGACATTTTGTTTGTATAACTCAAAGACTTTGTTTAATTGCAGCATATTTTTTTCAGAGCTGAGAAAACATAAATGTTAAGAAGGGTTCTAAAAATAAACTTTTTTACTCACTCAATTTTGTGTTTTAAGAATTTTTCACTACAATGTGTTTTAAGAAAATCCAGAAATGTTTTAAAGCATGCAGAAAATTATTACAACTAAAATTAAGTAATGAAGTAAAAAAAAACCTACCAAATGGTTTTACTCATATGTGAAATATGAATTAACTACAAAATAATTTTAAAAATAAACTGGAAAAAACATCTTTTGAGGTGTTGATCCCTAGAGTCAACGAAAACTGGTGGTTCACAGAGGGCAAGAAGAGGGTCTGGGGTGGGGGGGAGTAGGTAGGTCCCACCTGAGGGATGTGGGAGGGGTCGATACAGAGCTTAAGGTGTAAAGCTAAGCCCCCAAATTCCATCATCTTGTAAACTAGTGATAAGTCAATAAAAAAAACGAAAGTCTGTAAATTTGTACTATTTTCAAGCAGTTCCAACGTGTTGCCCTGAGCTGCGTCTGAGAATAGGCGGGAACTTCCACTTCCAGTGCTGACTAATCAAGCAATTTCATGAATGAAATCAGAACAAAAGCATTATGCAATAAAGGTTCTAACAAAGGTAACTGAGAAAATAATTTCTTAATTAGTTACAGTTGGTAATTTACTAATGTTCCATTTACCTCTTTGGAGGGGGAAGCGGGAGCCGTGAAAATTGTCGTCCAATAGGACCATACAAACATAACAAAGAACAGATGGAAAGCCACGAGGTAAACAACGGCCTTTCCTGGTGAATAGAAACAAATGGCAGTTTAATAAATCCAGGTAAAACAAAAGCACTACATTAAAACACAGTTACTTAGGGCCAGGAAGCTTAAGACAATTTTTAAATTAATTGAAATCTACTGAAAACATCTCTTTCATAGTGTGACATTACATATGAAGAAATATTCTGAATTGTACCCCAAGAACATATGCATTTACATTCTTATAAACCAACATTATACCTTGTAAAAGGGCTGGAAAGATAGTCAGGTGGATAAGATGCTTGCCTTGCATAAAGCACAGTTCCCTGCACCACATGAACTCACTGAGAGCAAGCCTGGAGCAGAGATCGTGGAGTAGATCCCCAGAACTACTAGGTGTGGCCCAAACACCTACCTCTGCAAATACACACACACACACACACACACACACACACACACACACACACACAGATCTGCATACACACATTAAGAAACATTTTGTTTCTGCATATTTGGAGGGGGAAGGGTTGGCCCACACCAAGTTCTGTCGGGGCTTATTCCTGGCTCTGTGCTCAGGGATCACTCCTAGTCGGGCTCGGAGAACATATGGGATGCCTGGAATTGAACCCGGGTCAGCCACGTGCAATGCAAGCACCCTCCCTGTTGTACTATCTCTCTAGCCCTGTTCCTGTGTTTAAGGGTTATCAGGTAGACTTACTAGGACTGTGGCAAAAGGGGTAGAGATACTTAGGGCATGCATGTGATGAGAACACCGTACCCCTGAAATATATACACTTTTGTAAACCACTGTTACCTAACATGAAAGCAAAGGTGAGGGACAGAACTCAGGATGGAGTGCACACGAGGTGTTCGCAAGTCCAGAATGGATCCCTGGCACCACAGTTCCCTGAGCACCTGAGGCAATAACTCCCAATCACCACCAGGTACAGCACAAAAAACAAAACCAACCCAAAGGGGGACAAAAAAAAGAAAGTAAAGATTGCAGTCTGAGATGAGATTTTATTGTATTAAGTTGTTAAATATTTAACTGCCTCCTAAGTGGATTTGTGTAACTCCAATTATCTTTACCTCTAAATATTTAACTCACTGATATTAACCTAATTTTAACTGTGTTCTTTACTTCTGCCATTGAGAGGCAGGGCTGGTTTCCAAAAGAAGCAAAATGTACCAAGTGTTTAAACTCCTTTTAAGTCTGGAATGCAGAACCATTGATCCACTAAAGAAAACCAAGTACAGATTCGCATAAATGTTCGAAAATCCATGGCCAGGAGACAACTCAGAGCTGACACATGTGCACCACATGGTCCACTGAGCACTGCCAGGAGAAGACAACTCTTCCACTCCAAATACAGTTTAAAATTCTATTTTTTTTCTTCAGTATCAGGGATCAAGTCCAGGGTTTCAAACACTTAACCACATCCCCAGACTGAAGTTTTGCTCATTTTAAATGTTCAGATAAAATAATACTTCTCCCACAAGTCTTCTCCATTACTTTCAAATTCTTTTATCTATCACCAAACAATGTGTTCAGACTACAAATAAAACGTTTTATTAAAGTAAGGTGCTTATATTGATAAAACAGTACATAACAACTAATTGCTGCTGCTTATTATCTAGGCATCTTACATTCTTCTCAAAATTTAGGTGTTTTTTTTGTGTACATGTTACCTACTTAAGTGTTTCCCAAGTTTAAGGATTGACAAAGTTTCATGGGTATGCAGTAAAATGGGAAACAAAAACATATAAGGTAGTTTTGTTTGCTTTTTGATTTTTTTCACGGGACAAAAATCCCAGCAGTGTTAAAGGGCCTTGTGCTCAGAGATCACTCCTGGGCGTGCTCTAGGCACCATTATGTGGTACTGGGGATTAAATCTGGGTCCACCGCATACAAGGCAAGGGCCTGACCTGCTGTTCAGACACTTCAGTCATATATAGGACAATTTTAATATTCTAACACCATGGTTTAAGTTTGAGGTACTATGTTTTCATGAGGTTGTTTCTGCTTACATTTTCAGTTTGGAAAATGTTTTAAAAATAAAAATAAAAAGTTGACAATTAATGGTAGGAAGACAGAAGTTGCAGTCAAATCTGGTTCAATTCCCTGCAAGGTATGTGGTCCATTAAGTAACTCCTGTGCACAGAAAAAGACCTGAGTACTGCCAGATTTGGTCCAAATATAAGAACAAGTAAAACTAAAAGTTGACTGAATCCTAATATTTTCTTTTGCAATCACACTGGCTCAAAACAGACCCAAAAGGACAGAACCAGCAACCACACACTTGAGTGGAGCAAGAACCCTGGGTTCTTAGAAATCGTTTATTAAACATCTATTCAGTAAGAGGTATCTCAGATTCTAGCCTGCAAAGGGTCTACCAAAGTAAGCTCATTCCCATTTTTTTACTGCCAGTGCAATAGTTAAATAAGTTCCCACATCATTTGTGTTACTGTGATAGTCTTTTTAGATCACTCTATCATCAGCTAGTATTAAACGTGTTGTTCATACTTTCTTCCTTTCCTTTCCTGTGAAATTAACTCCATCTAGAAGTGTACGTACTTGGGTTCAGTGATGGCAGTGTCCAGGTCTCAATGAATAGGGGATGGGCCATGCCTTCTAAATCCCCCTGTCCCCCATGGGATCCTGAAAGTCATGCCCACAAACTGCCTCCGGCTGCTACTTATGCTTCTTTAACAGCCATGACCCAGAGATACATAAAAGAAACTCTGAACAGAGTAGCTTGCTGCAGAGATATCTCCAGACCCTAATTATCTAAAATTTCAGAATTCCAGGAGCATGTGGCTGCTCTTGCGGCCGTGCAACATCTTACACTATTAATAACAAGCAATACAAAAGAGAATATGGGGAAGATTGTCTGCCATAGAGGCAGGGGGAGGGGTGGGATGGGGAAGATACCGGGGACCTTGATGGTGGAAGATGTGCACTGGTGGAAGGTTGGGTAATTGATCACTGTACGACAAATTCAAACAGGAAAGTTTTGCAACTGTATCTCACAGTGATTAAAAAAATAATAAAAATAATAAAATTAACATTCTGAATAAAAAAAAGTAATGTGTAGTTCATGCTCAATTTAATCAGCCTAATCAATAGCTGAATAAATAGCAGTACTCCTACATTAAAAAAAAGTCCATCTACATGACTAGTAGATATATTATAAAATTCTTAGACTTCCAAGCAATCATATTTAATTTTATCTACTTAAATCACCACTTCTACCAACTGAAAGTCTCCTAGAAGAGTATACCTTGATGTGGATTATATGTATAAAATAACCTTTTTTTCTAATTTTCATGATCTTCCTATACTTTCATGCCTGTAGGCCCTGGGGGGAGGGGGGGAGTTAGGGGATGGTGGAAAGGAAACTAGGGACATTGGTGCTGGGAAATGTATACTGGTGGAAGGATGGGTACTGACAGATTATATGGCTGAAATCCAACCATGAACAGCTTTGTAACGGTCTATCTCAATAGATAATTCAATAAAAAATATTTTTTTAAAAAAGATGCACAGTCATGCTGGGCCACCCCAGGGGGGAAAGGGTGCTGTCCCTCCGCCGGCTCCCCCTTGGTGGCTCGGGGGCCGCCATTCTCCAGAGGCCATTGGACAGTCGGGTTTGGGCCTGCAGTGATGAGACATGTTGGGCCTCACGGGATGGGGGTGGAGCCGGTCCTTTCTTCCCCATCCCAACGAGACCCCAAGTCACTGCTCACAGACAGCCTCTCTGGCTCCTGATCAAGCTGCTTAACGGCCATGATCCAAGACATTCAGAAACAAATCTCGAAACCCAGTGGCTTTGGGCAGAAATGCATCAAGACCCCGCAGTAGGTTACTGTTGCCAGGCCACCCCAGGGCGGAAGGGTATTGTACCTCCGCCTGCTCCCCCTAGGCGGCTTGGTGGCCACCACCCTCCAGAGGCCACTGAACAGTCAGGTTTGGGCCCTCAGTGACGAGACATGCGGGGCCTCATGGTATGGGGGTGGAGCTGGCCTTTTCCTCCCCCACCCAACGAGACCCCAAGTCGCTGTCCATGAACGGCCTTTCCGGCTCCTGATCAAGCTGCTTAACAGACATGGTTCCAGAGACTCGGGAGCAAATCTCGAAACCCAGCAGGTTTTGTCAGAAATCCCTCCAGATTTAAGTGTTAAAATTTCAAAATTTCAAAATCGCGCAGCCACTACTGCAGTCACGCGACATCATGTTATTCATAGCCAGCAATAGAAAACAAATTGTCTACTGTTGCCTTTTCAGAAGATCTGAGTGTTGGGTAAAATATCAAATAATAATGGTGGGTCTACTTTGAATGTAATCAAAGTAGAGAGAGAGAGTAATGTGGAAATCATCTGCCCCACAGGTAGCGGGAGGGTTTTAGACAGGGGTATAATGGGGTTGTTGGGGGTGGAGAATGGGCAACGGTGAAGGTAAGGGTGTTTCATTTTATGACCGAGACTTAGACCCGAAAGCTTTGTAACTGCTCTCATGGTGATTCAACAAATAAAATTAAAAAAATGAAAAAAAAATAGGTAAGGTGGAGTTCATGCCCAATTCAAATCAGTGGCTGAATAAATAGCAGTACTCCTACATTAAAAAAAAAAAAGATGTACATTCAGTTTACAAGTGCTAAAATGAAATCTCAGGGAATTTACTAACTTACACAATGTTACTTAGTTACTAAATGATATGGTCGGAATTTAAGTCCCAATATCAGCTTGATAAAAATCCAAGCTATTTTCTTTTTACTTTGACATACCACAAATTATATTTTCCTTCCATTTTAACAACTGTCTTACTGTCAAATCACGCTTTTTATTTCAAAACTTTTATGTCAACATAAAATTTTAACCACAATTTCCTAAATTTGCTTTCATTTCACTTCCGCTAAAATGGTTAACCTCACAGAAAATTCTAATTTCTCAAAATCTCTACATGGAATCCTGCCACTACCCATGGGACTCAATCTTCACTAAGTTTTACAAAACAGCAACTACTTTAATTTTTTTTTTTAATGTAGAGTACTATTAGGCTGGAGCGAGAGCACAGTGGGTAGGGCACTTGCCTTACATGAGGCCGATCTGGGTTCGATTCCTCTGTCCCTTTCGGAGAGCCAGGCAAGCTACTGAGAGTATCCCTCCTGCATGGCAGAGCCTGGCAAACTACCCGTGGTGAATTCGATATGCCAAAAACAGTAACAATAAGTCTCACAATTTGTTGTGAGATGTTACTGGTGCCTACTCGAGCAAACTGATGAACAACGGGAGGACAGTGCTACAGAGTACTATTACAGAGTCTAAATTTAGATACATAAGTTTACAGAAAACTCCTGTAAAGGGGATGAATTTAATTCAAATGCACCATTCATGTTCATAATTAGCAGTTATAGAAAAGGGCTTTGTTTTTAATTCAACAGAATTATACTACATTGGCATTTTTCTATATTCACTTTCTATTTTAATACATTTGTGCGTAATTCCATATTTTAATGCCTAAAGAGAATGCCATAATCTGAATGTCAAAATTTATTAAAATAGCTTTGCATCAGAATAAATAAAAATAATAATGTAGGAGTACTGCTATTTATTCAGCCACTGATTAAACTGACTAAAGCAGGTATGAACTCCACTCACTACTTTAATTTTGAATTCAAATGAAAATACACTGAACATCTAGAAACAGACTCAATACATTTTCTCCCAATTGAACTTTAAAGATATATTTCTTTCTGAAAAGTTATCACTAAATAAAACAAATTAACTGCAACTGTGATACCTTATAATCTTATAAATTAAGATTAGAGGTGCCTTCAACACCCAAAAGGAGAGAGAGAACAAAAGGAAATGCCCTGCCACAGTGGCAGGGTGGGATGGGTGTGGGAGGGATACTGGGATCCATGGTGGTGGAAAATGGGCACTGGTGGAGGGATAGGTATTTGATCATTGTATAATCGAAACCCAAGCACAAAAATTTGTAAATCTACAACTGTACCTCATGGTGTTTCACTAAAAAAAAAAACCCCAAAACAAAAAATCCTTTGAGGTCCAAAAAAAAAAAATGAGTGGGGCTATGGGGTAGGGCATATTTCTCAATGATAGCAAAGTGCTGTTTTCAAACTCACTGATTCTTTCTTTTAAATGTAAACTAATTTAAATTCAATAAAAATATGTACGTTGATATAAAAAAAAAGATTAGAGGTGCCTTACCGTATTCTCCGTTTTCATAAAGAGTAACTAGAAAAAAAAAGAACAGTGATTAAATAAACATTAAGTATTTTGTACATAAATTTTATCTAAAGTTAACAACTTATTTTCAGAAAAATAAAATAGAAGCAAATGAAAATCCAGACTTAAAAACCCCTGAAAACACCAAAATTTAAATTCTTTATAATATGATTGCATTTAAGTTTTTTCCAGACCTTTGTTAATATTAAGTTTAAGAATATGATCATAGATGTCCAGTCTGTCCTTTCCTCAATGTTGCATGCAGAGTAAACAGAACTCTCCTCTGGCACTTAAACTGAATCCGTGATGTTACTTACTGATCTCTTTTGTGAAATCTCTAATAAAAAAAAAAATTGTATTTTTCTCAGCGGGTAGGGCGTTTGCCTTGTACGCAGCCAACATGGCCGACCCGAGTTCGATTCCTCTGCCCCTCTCGGAGAGCTCGGCAAGCTACCGAGAGTATCTCGCCCACACCGCAGAGCCTGGAAAGCTCCCCGTGACGTATTCGATATACCAGACACAGTAACAACAAAGTCTCACGATGGAGACGTTACTGGGTCCGCTCAAGAAAATCGATGAACAACGGGAGGACAGTGATCAGTGATCTTTGGATAAAAAGTGGAGGAAATTGTCCCTCTACTTAGTACTTTTTCTTCCACGCCTGAAGCCTTGGGAATTGCCATTTACTTTTCTCTGAACAGTCCGTGTCCCCTAGATCCTATGGATTTTAATTCCTAAATCTCCAAATTTGTCACTGTCACCTCTTTTTCAGTATGTCTCATCATCTCACTTCAGGCCTTCCTCAAATTCAAGCACCAAATATATCTCCCTTCTCTAAGTTCAACAAGTCACCACTACCAGCAAGTTTGATGAATGCTCTTCAGCACTCAGGATAAAGGCCAATAGATTCTGTATTGCAAACAGTACAGGTTCTACATGATTTATCACCTGTCTACCTAAACGGTTCCACATGCTATTTGTCCATACTGATGGACTAAGAATTTATCAAACAGCAGTTTTCTAATTGCATCCAACAGTCCCACAGCTGTGGTGTGCTCTTCTTACATAGCCTTCAGTGCCCAGTTTAAATACTATTTCTTTTATAGAGATTTCCAGAATTCCTCTTAAAACAAAACAGATAGGAACTGAGCAGGACCAAGATGGAGAAGAAGAGAGCCCTTTGAGATCATGTTGGGTCTCTAAAATAAATATATAAACACACATACACAAAAATCCCCAGAATTAGGCTGGAGAGAAAGAACAGCAGGTAGGGAACTTGCCTTGCATATGGCTGACTGGGGTCTGATCCCTGACACCCACATACGGTCTCCAGAGTCTTTATTTTTTTTTAATTGTTATTAGTGAAACATCTCCATTGGAGACTTTGTTGTTACTGTGTCTGGCATATTGAATACTCTCGGTAGCTTGCCGGGCTCTCCGAGAGGGGCGGAGGAATTGAACTCGGGTCGGCCATGTTGGCCGCGTGTAAGGCAAATGCCCTACCCGCTGAAGTACAGTTGTAAACTTACAAATTTTTGTGCTTGGGTTTCAATTATACAATGTTCGAGTACCCATCCCTCCACCAGTGCCCATTTTCCACCACCACTGATCCCAGTATCCTTCCCACCCCTCGTCTCTCCCATCCCACCCTGCCTCTGTGGCAGGGCACTCCCTTTTGTTCTCTCTCTCCTTTTGGGTGCTGTGGTTTGAAAAAGAAGCATTGAGTGGAAATCATGTTCGGTCTGTAGTCTACTTTCAGCATGCATCTCCCATCCTGGAAGGATCCTCCCAACACCCTTTATGTGGTTCTCCCTTCTCTATCTGAGCTGCCTTTTCCCCCTAGCATGTGCGGCTGGCCTCCAAGCCATGGAGTAAAATTCCTGGTACTAATCTCGGCCATTCTTGGGTGTTAATCTCCTATTTTGTTACTTTATGTTCCCCAGATGAATGCAATCTTTCTATGTCTGTCCCTCTCTTTCTGACTCATTTTGCTTAGCATGATACTTTCCGTGTAGTACCACTTATATGTAAATTTCATGACTTCATCTTTCCTAACAGCTACATAGTAGGGTCTCCAGAGTCTTACCAGGAGTGATCCCTGAACAGAAAGCTAGGAATTAACCCAGAGCACCACTGGGTGTGGCCCCAAAACAAAAACAAAAACACAAAGCCTAATTAAACCCAGAATCATGCATGCAGCCTTGAAGAGGAACTACTGAAACACCCTGCAAGCATCTTTTGAGAGTGGGAGAGGAAGCAGCAGAGCAGGTTAAGGAGTGAGGCCCACAGGGGAGGGTAGAGGCAGCTGAGGGACAACACCTTGGCCAGGTACAGGAATGGGGTCCGGAAACGTCAGCTCCTTAGAAAGCTTCCCTTCACCAAAACTCACTAGGAGGCAAGATCTTTGTCAGATTGGCTGCCTGGGGCCAGCTATCAGACCTGGTCAAGGAAGCATATGGATGGAAAAGCAACAGCAGACAACTGCCTGTCCCTGGGGGGGGGGGGGGGGGGGGAGGCCCATTCTCACTCCCCACCTACACCCTAATTGCAAGGAACAGAGTGCGAGCATTCATCCAGAGTCAAATTTTCTCCAGAGACTCTGGGACAAAGGTTCTGTTACGTGTGCTTCTGCCCAAACTTAGGGGACAGTGGCAAGAAAGCCACACTGCTGTGTCTGCCCATGCTTGAGTACAGATGACACACACTCCTGTAACTACTCCCAGCAGCATCATAGAGTGACCCTAACAACACCAATCTTGGTGGCATGAACCCTAGACTGGCTCCAGGGTCTGCACTCACACCACACCAGACACAAGGAAGAAGCAGGGGAATTCACCTGCACTAAGGGACAAAGACCAGAGCCTGGGAAGGTTCCCAAGCACCCAAGAGTTCCAGACTCTCCGATAAAAATTTCAAAGTGACAAAAGGATGGTCACTGAATGCAGGAAAGCAACAGAAGACTTGAGCAACAAGAAGAAAAAAGAAAAATCTGAGAAAACTTCCATCAGAATCACAGAAACTGGTGAATTAAAAGCCACAAGAGATGTGCTCAGTCGCAGAATGACAGAAGTTGAGGAATAAGCCAGTGAACTTAAGGATAAAACCCACAAAACTATCAACAAGAAAAGGGAAAAGAATAAAGAAAAATGAAGAAAACGTCAGAGATTTATAGAACAGAGTCCAGAGGATTAACATTCACATTATGGGCCAAAAAGTTGGTAACACTGTATTCCTAAAATATTACTATTGGGCTGGAGAGATAGTAAAGGTGGGTAAGGAGTTTTGCACGCAGCCAACTGGAAACTGCCAGTTTCATCCCTGGCATCAAGTATGTCCCTGATCACCACGAGGAGTCATCCTTGAGTACGGAGCCTGGAACAAGCTGAGCACTGTTGCATGTGGCTCCACAAACAAAAAACAAAGCAAACAAACGAAAAGAAGTGTTTATTAATGTCTATGTACGCTACAGCCTCTTGATGAAAGTGTATGTGGTTACTCCCTATTAAACTAACATCCATTACTTCCGAACAAGTCTCACTTAAGGAGAAAATACCAGGGAAATACTCCCCTTCAAAGCAATAACAAATAAGGTCACAACTATTAGCTACAGAAAACATTTTCTGAGAAGCACAGGGTTTCTTCTCCACTTAGGTTGGTCATGAGAGTCTGAAATAGTTAGACCCTGGGT